TTAAAAATAATAGCAGTCGGTCGATCAAAATATGAACGGTGATTAGTATGTTTCATTTTTTGGCAGTGTTCTCACTATATAGTATGGATATGAAATATATTCATTCAGATGAAGGCAACAGCATAATTTTTCGTTTTGTAATCTGTGCGTAGATAAGCTAATATCCACGTAGGTGTAGAAAAAAATGTTTCTAACCTAGGCCATGATCGACAAAGACGGATATTAAGTCTTTACTTATTTAATATATTTAATTTTATATTAGTTATTGTCATTCAGTAGGAAAGGTAATATTTCAAGAAGATATTGCCTTATTTAAGTGACGAAAGACCACAGATGTTTGGAAGAGCTATTTTTCATCTCCAACGACAGTATCGCTTCAACACTCGCGATATACGAAAAAAGAATAGACCTGAGTCATTGTTAAAAAATTATAATTTAGTACTGATCTGGTTACATCTTCCAGAATTTTTAAGTGCCAGCCCTCAAATACAGTCAGTCCATTATTCCAAGCAAATACTTTTCCAGAGAGAGTCTTCCCCTCTACCCCGCGCTAAATTTTGTAATTAACAACTACTGCCTCCGAAGGGGGAAATCCCTCGTTTTCAATTGGCTTATTCAGTAACCGATGCCAAGTGTGACAACGCCAGTTCTGACACTTTCTGACACATGTCAATTTTTGGTTTGTATTTTAAGAAAAATATAAATATTTATAGCATTATATGGGTTGTAAATGTACATTTAAGATTTATTATTTCTAATAATATAGTGACAACATGCCTTATGTGTAAAATATCTTTTAAAAAGCCTTTTTTAAGATTATACCATGGGAAAGTACAAATTATTACAAACACAATATAATTATCAGTGGCGGTGCATTAGGGAATCATTTTTAATTTGTAATTAACATATGTCAACGTTCTTATTTTCATGTCGATAAGGTGAAATTAAGAGGAAATAAAACCCAACTAAGTTCTTTTTCATCTATCTCATTTTGATTACAAGAATAATTACTTATGACATACATAAAGAAAATCAAAACCTGTGGCTTTATTTTATTATAATATCCTTGTAAAGTTTATTGTTATTTTTTTATTCTAGGTTTCCTTTTCTTGATATGGAAAGAAATAATTAATTAAATGGTTTTAAAATTTTGGAATTAAACAAGTGACCACCCGGGTAGTTTTTATGCTAGATTATTTTATAAGAATATTTTTAATACACACTTCAGGGTAATGAATAAATTTAAATATCAATGAAAAATCCAATTTCAGTAAATGCTAACGAGAGAGATATAATAATCGATCCTGTCACTACTTCCTAATCATATTCATTTGCTTCTAAAATAGAAAGTAAAGCAGAGAAACTTAAGTTTCTTTAAAAAAAGTTGGTTTTTACACTATTGGTACCTACCTAAGTAAATTGTTAATATTTTTATTTTATGTGTATACAGTAGGGTGCTTCGTTTGAGACGACTATTTTTTTTCTCACTCCATTGACGAATTATTGTTCTAAACATAGAAAAAAAAATCCTACCAAAGGAGAGCTCTTAATTTTAATTTTAAGTACTCGCTTAATAAATTTAAAGTTTTCCCATTTAATTAACCCGTAAAATTGATTTTTTTTGCTTAAATTATCTATAGCATAGCGACATTTTATGACATTCATTTGATCATGGGTGTAGATTGGAGAGGGATCATTCCCCTTTAAAGGCTCTTAAAGCTAATTTCCAACTTTTGAATTATATTGCCAGTAAAAAATAAGAGTCATTTATTATTTTCTTATAATTAATCAAATTTATCTCAGAAACAATTTACTTTGCAGGTTCTGCTATTAATCAGTCTTGTACGAAATTAAATTATTTACAAAAAAGTTCCTTTGCAATTTTAATGTCAAATGAATAGTTTAAGAGAAAAAGTCAAAAAATCACGTTTTTTGAGAAAAAACAAATACACAATTTTTTACTGGCGATATAATTCAAAAGTTGGAAATTAGCTGTAAGAGCATTTAAAGAGGAATTATCCCTCTCCAATTTCCACTCATGATCAAATAAGTGCCATAAAATGTCGCTATGCTATAGATAATTTTAGCAAAAAAATTCATTTTTACGGGTTAATTAAATGGGAAAACTTTAAATTTATTTAGCGAGTACTTAAAATTAAAATTAAGAGCTCTCCTTTGGTAGGTATTTTTTTTTATATATTTAAAACAATAATTCGTCAATGGAGTGAGAAAAAAAAGAGTCGTCTCAAACGAAGCACCCTAATATACAGGGGCTGGATCATATAATTTTTTCCCTTTCTGAACCAACAAGAAGTTATATTTTATCACCAATAGGATCACCAAGAAATAAATGGTAATCGAGATTTCTATTTTTACTTTCGTGTGTGTGTGTGTGTGTGTGTGTGTGTGTGTGTGTGTGTGTGTGTGTGTGTGTGTGTGTGTGTGTGTGTGTGTGTGTGTGTGTGTGTGTGTGTGTGTGTGTGTGTGTGTGTGTGTGTGTGTGTGTGTGTGTGTGTGTGTGTGTGTGTGTGTGTGTGTGTGTGTGTGTGTGTGTGTGTGTGTGTGTGTGTGTGTGTGTGTGTGTGTGTGTGTGTGTGTGTGTGTGTGTGTGTGTGTGTGTGTGTGTGTGTGTGTGTGTGTGTGTGTGTGTGTGTGTGTGTGTGTGTGTGTGTGTGTGTGTGTGTGTGTGTGTGTGTGTGTGTGTGTGTGTGTGTGTGTGTGTGTGTGTGTGTGTGTGTGTGTGTGTGTGTGTGTGTGTGTGTGTGTGTGTGTGTGTGTGTGTGTGAGTGCGTGCGTGCGTGCGTGCGTGCGTGCGTGCGTGCGTGCGTGCGTGCGTGCGTGCGTGCGTGCGTGCGTGCGTGCGTGCGTGCGTGCGTGCGTGCGTGCGTGCGTGCGTGCGTGCGTGCGTGCGTGCGTGCGTGCGTGCGTGCGTGCGTGCGTGCGTGCGTGCGTGCGTGCGTGCGTGCGTGCGTGCGTGCGTGCGTGCGTGCGTGCGTGCGTGCGTGCGTGCGTGCGTGCGTGCGTGCGTGCGTGCGTGTGTGTGTGTGTGTGTGTGTGTGTGTGTGTGTGTGTGGGTGTGCGTGTGTGGGTGCGTGCGTGTGCGTGCGCGTGCGCGTGCGCGTGCGCGTGCGCGTGCGTGTGCGTGTGCGTGTGCGTGTGCGTGTGCGTGTGCGTGTGCGTGTGCGTGTGCGTGTGCGTGTGCGTGTGCGTGTGCGTGTGCGTGTGCGTGTGCGTGTGCGTGTGCGTGTGCGTGTGCGTGTGCGTGTGCGTGTGCGTGTGCGTGTGCGTGTGCGTGTGCGTGTGCGTGTGCGTGTGCGTGTGCGCGTGCGCGTGCGCGTGCGCGTGCGCGTGCGCGTGCGCGTGCGTGTGCGTGTGCGTGTGCGTGTGCGTGTGCGTGTGCGTGTGCGTGTGCGTGTGCGTGTGCGTGTGCGTGTGCGTGTGCGTGTGCGTGTGCGTGTGCGTGTGCGTGTGCGTGTGTGTGTGTGTGTGTGTGTGTGTGTGTGTGTGTGTGTGTGTGTGTGTGTGTGTGTGTGTGTGTGTGTGTGTGTGTGTGTGTGTGTGTGTGTGTGTGTGTGTGTGTGTGTGTGTGTGTGTGTGTGTGTGTGTGTGTGAGTGCGTGCGTGCGTGCGTGCGTGCGTGCGTGCGTGCGTGCGTGCGTGCGTGCGTGCGTGCGTGCGTGCGTGCGTGCGTGCGTGCGTGCGTGCGTGCGTGCGTGCGTGCGTGCGTGCGTGCGTGCGTGCGTGCGTGCGTGCGTGCGTGCGTGCGTGCGTGCGTGCGTGCGTGCGTGCGTGCGTGCGTGCGTGCGTGCGTGCGTGCGTGCGTGCGTGCGTGCGTGCGTGCGTGCGTGCGTGCGTGCGTGCGTGCGTGCGTGCGTGCGTGCGTGCGTGCGTGCGTGCGTGCGTGCGTGCGTGCGTGCGTGCGTGCGTGCGTGCGTGCGTGCGTGCGTGCGTGTGTGTGTGTGTGTGTGTGTGTGTGTGTGTGTGTGTGGGTGTGCGTGTGTGGGTGCGTGCGTGTGCGTGCGCGTGCGTGTGCGTGTGCGTGTGCGTGTGCGTGTGCGTGTGCGTGTGCGTGTGCGTGTGCGTGTGCGTGTGCGTGTGCGTGTGCGTGTGCGTGTGCGTGTGCGTGTGCGTGTGCGTGTGCGTGTGCGTGTGCGTGTGCGTGTGCGTGTGCGTGTGCGTGTGCGTGTGCGTGTGCGTGTGCGTGTGCGCGTGCGCGTGCGGGTGCGTGTGCGTGTGCGTGTGCGTGTGCGTGTGCGTGTGCGTGTGCGTGTGCGTGTGCGTGTGCGTGGGTGTGTGTGTGTGTGTGTGTGTGTGTGTGTGTGTGTGTGTGTGTGTGTGTGTGTGTGTGTGTGTGTGTGTGTGTGTGTGTGTGTGTGTGTGTGTGTATCCACCATAACTCATAAACCGATACAAAGAAAAAGATAAAATTTTAAACTTAAGCTTTATTTCAGCCTGCGGTGAACTGATTAGATTTTGGGCAGAATCGGAACATTTGGGGGGGGGGGGTACTTTATTGGTGGTCATTTTTATATTTTATGAAATATATCCGTTATTTACGTTTGGAGAAGAAAATTCTTTAAATAAAAGTTACTTACAATATTATTATCTATGATAAAAAAACTAAAAAAGGATATTGGATAGTAGCAGAAAAGAGAGTAGAGTACCTCTTATATTAATTATTCGGAACGCAGCCTCTTTTATCAGGAACAATCCTAAATAAATAACAAAAGAGTACAAAGGAAAAAAAAAGAAAATAAAGGAAAAAAATGAGTTGAAGAACGCTGAAAAGAAGTTTTGTAAAAATAACTGACCTGCTAGCGACGTTAGTTCCACAGCGAAACTTCGTCTTCTTGCGATATTGCTATCATATCCACGCTTGTTGCACAAACTACTATTTTCGCTTAAACATATTTTTCTCAACCACGCATAGTAACTTTTTACATCCTATAACTGTGTTATACCATTTATTTGGGCCAAATACATATAAATAAATATTACTCATTATAAATACGAATTTTTAATAAAACAAAATTAAAAAAATAATATTAAATACCTAGACGTACTCATCAAGTATTTTTATTTTAAGGTTTTGTAGCATGCACAATGAAAGTTGTAGTGTTGAAACAAGCACATTGTTTTCCATCTTTATTGGTTAGATTAACCAATTTACCATTTTGAACTTCTTTCAAAAAGTAAGCGATGTATTCGCTCATTAATTCTTCAGGAATATTGGGAATCGTAGCATTTACTGCAATGGCTAGGTCTACAAAAGAAAAATAATAATAAATTAATTTTTTATCGTGTTGTTATGTCATATTAGATAGTAATACTTCTTCTTGTTCTTTGTGATGATTACTCCCAGATGACAATATTTTTTTTTGAGCATCTAACTCTTGTTTCTAATACAGCGAAAGTTTTAAGGAGCTATAGTCAAACAAAATACGTACCAAAATTTGAAAAAAAAAAAAAAAAAAAATATATATATATATATATACTGTATTATGCGTCGTTCCCAAGCCCTGTCAATTATAAGACGACCTCAGACCAACCAGAAATATTAAGAATATAAAAACAAATGATGTCACTTTTGACATATTTTATGTCAATGAATTAATCCACATTGAGAGGGGTAAGAAAAAAACAAAATTAAATTATACTTTCTGTTCAATAAACGATCACAAGCCATTTCAATTTGCCGCCTTCCCATGCCATCATATACTAGTATTGTATATTTTACCGACGTTTAGATACCCTGCGGCGTTGCCAATACCAATATTCAACAACCGCCCGATTATTTACACGAAACAAAAATGTTTTTTGTGTTATTGTCAAGTAATTAGATCAACGCTGGAGTTGTTTCAGATTTAGGATTGCGGGCCAGGTGGCCTTTCGCCCACCTCGTACTACTCAGATATTTTATGCTTAACTATTAATAATTGGTCATGGTACTTTGTCTAGTTTGATCTTTTGTACTAGACTGAATAAACTAGGTAGTAGCTTTCCGGTGTAGCTATTTTTTCTTCAATAGGGATACTTTCCTGGCCGTTGTACCGTAGTATAATTTTAGATAAATAAAATATGTTTTAGTTTATCTGGTCATAAGTTTTTATTTTGTTTATTTGATAAGCTCAAAATATGTTTTGGAAAACACTTTTTCCCTCTTCTGGTGCAGTTAAATAATTTTAAAAACATGGGGACAAAAAGAATACTTTTTAAAACAGTTGAAGGCTTATCTTTTTGTTATATAGCAGGTGTATTCAAAATATTATAATTTGGTTTAACAAGATAGTATGGAAACAAAAATAAAAACTAAACATGTTTTTGTTTCGCTACTATATCGTGTTAAACCAAATTATAGTATTTCGAATACACCTACATACGCTGTAAAATAAAAAGATGTGACTTTAACTATTTTAAAATTTCAACTTTTGTTTGTTTTTGTCCACCATGTTCTTAAAATTGTTTGACGACACTAGAAGATGGAAAAAGTGTTTTCAGAAGCATATGTTGTGACTATAAAATAAAAAATAAATACTTTTGAATACATATAAAAAATTTTTTTCTTGGTTTTGCTTCTATATGTGTATGGAATCGCATCCTTCATATATCATGGCAGTAGCCCAATACTGCAGTTGCCTCCTCTTCGTGATATAATCGAAAAAAGGTGTCTTTTGCCAGTGCGAAGTTGTACATATTATGTCTTTTAAAACTTACAATGCCATGTTAATAGGACAAGTATTTTAGTACTTCTCCTATTCTTACTCAGTTTTGACGATGGCGCTTTTATTTTCTGACCTGCCTATAACTTGGCGTTCCTGAGATTCATTGAACACCTGCTGCTTTGCGCATGATCTGATGGCGTTTTTGTAACACCACAAATGAGTGCTGAGCCCAGAAGCAACTTTTAGGCTACTTCTCGACCTTGTGCCCTCTGTGGCCTGGCACCTAGGGTAAGGTTAGACTGTTTTAGGGATACCAAACAGTGCTTCATAGTATGTGAAAATACTTAATACCTCTTTTGCATAGTGTGTATTGTTGCTATTATTACTCGAAATATTGTCGCATGTTTACCTAGTTTCAGTGAGACAATTTTTTTTTTATTGGTTTTGGAGCCATATGTATTGCAGGTGATTTCTGCGTGAATATAAACGCCTCCATTCCATGCTTCCCTGTTGGCTCCAAAATTTAAATGTTTATTTGATACTTTAGCCACTTTCACTTTATTATATATTTACCTTGAAATTAAACTGAACGTTTGTATTAAGCTGTGTACAGACCGCGCCAATGAATGAAAACTAACATAATTGTCTTTTGGTTACCAAACATTCGTTGGCCATCGATAATACGTTGTTGTTTAATTAAAAGTTAGTTAGTATTTGGCTACAATTGGTTTTGCAATGCTTTGACAAATTATGTGCAGTTATTCAGAGAGATTGGTAGGTCAAAAAACCTTTTAAATGCACAGCTAAAAATATTAAAACTGTTCAGATGTTACCGATGAAAATTCAGAAATATCGATTTCAACAAAATTTAAAAATAAATAAAATTTAAAACCACAGCAGCTTTAAAGGGTTAATGAAATGACTTTCAAATGAAGTATCACAGGCCCCTACTTCCAATTTGAGTATATAGGGGGTTAAAGGTGTCATCTGAAGAGGATTAAATTTAAGGATGCCATTTTTACGTCGCGACATGTCATTTTAGAATTAGAAATTGACACGTCTTAAGATTGTTTTAGAAAAACGCATAATAATGGAGCTATTGGATTTATTCCATTTGGCTGTTCCACGCCGTATTTAGTAAGTGTAATGCCAGTTAGCATTGCTTTGTTAGATACAAGTTTTTTTAACTTGCTGTAAGTATATTTTAATTATACATTGTGCATCATTTTCCCTTCTTTGGGAAAAAGATATCTACATGTACGATATAGTATATACAGGGTGTTAAAAAAAAGTGTCACAAAATAAAACGGGGGGTAGTATGGGCCAAAATATGCAGAAAAGTCTTAACACGTTAAGCGCCATGGGGGTCCCTAGGGACCGCTGAGAATGTTAGGAGGCAGGGCCACAGCGGTCCATTGGACTGCCGGTACGCACATTACTTTCGGTCGCTGTGGACCGCCTTTAATTCAACTTTACCAGGAAGCATGGACCGATATGGCCTGTGGGCAATAGTCGGCAGTATTGGGTTTAAAAAATACTGATAGGAACGTTTGTTACACACTAATGTTTTAAGTTTTCAACTGACCTGAATTTTTGAAACTGAGCGGTCCAAGCTTATGATAAATTGGATATGTTAGCGGCCCAGCATTGTTATGTAAAAATAAAAATAGGACCAAGTATTTTTTAGAACATTTATTTGTAAAATGTTTCACAAATGTCATGAAATATAAATATAAAAAATTAAAAGATAGTTTTTAGTTTTGATATTTAGCAAAACAGTCTAAACAAAAATGTGGCTTTCCTTCGCATTCTTCGCAATAGGTAGTGACTTTCGGAACTTTATTTTTTCAATTAATCTTTTTCTTTTTTTCATAGCAGCTGTGACAATATTTACGAACATTGAGGGAAGCCCCTTCTTTCTTTCTGAATTGGTGATTATTTATTTTCCATTTCTTGCTAGGCTTAGGAGTATCAGTGTTCTGGTCCTCTTCGGGTGGAAAAAGAACGCACAATACAATATTTTCTTGAAAATCAGTGATAGACATTGTGCTATCGTTGATTTCTTTATAAAGAAAGTGGGCATTTACAACAGCAGTACCCAGAAGGAGCTCAATGGCGATTTTTCGGTACCACTTTATACACTCACCGGCACGAAAAACGGAGCAGTTGAATTTTTTTAAACAAACTTAAAATTTTAATGCTTTGTGATGTTTTATTATTATAATATCTTAAACATAAACAAAACAACGTGTTTTAAGCATTTTCTAACAACAATTGAACCTTTATTTGAAGAAAAAAAGCGTTTTTGAATAAAAATCAAAAATTGAACGGACTTATCACTTCAAAGTGCATAGTTGGCTATGAAACCATTACCAACAATGCTGTTGTTTTCATTATTTTGAGAAATTTGACAGATCGAAACACGTTTTAAAGTTGTGCTGCGTTTATTTCACCTACAAAATTATGGCTGTTAATCCCGAAATAGCGGCTGCTATTGTTGCGTTGCTTCACGACGGAAGAAGTGAGCGATATGTTGCCCAACAGTATCACATATCCAATAGCACTGTGCACCGTATTTTTACACGTTTTTTTGGAAACTGGAGCTTACACCATATGACTTGGAACTGGTCCCCAACGAAGAACTAGCGCTCATGATGATCGCTTTATCATCTTACAAAGTCTGCGAAATCGTCATGTTACGGCTGTTAAAATCAGAAATCGACTTCATCACGTCCGGCAAATCAACATAAGCGAACGGACAGTTAGACGAAGACTCGGAGAAGCCAATCTTACCAGTCGTAGACCTGCAGCAGGCCCAGAGCTTCTTAGGCGTTATCGTATTGCGCGATTTCAGTTTGCCAGAAAACATGAGCAATGGGGTGAAAATTAATGGGGGCGCGTTTTGTTTACGGATGAGTCCAGATTTAGCCTGCGGTCTCTAGATGGTCGTGAGAGAGTATGGCGAAGACCACAAGAGCGTTTCGCAGAATGTACCTTCAGTCCTAGGGTAGGCTACCAAGAAGGCTCAGTTATGGTCTGGGCCGGAATTTCTATGGAGGCACACACAGAATTGTACATTCTTCCGAGAGGCTCCTTAACTGCTGCCAGGTACATTGATGAAATTTTCTAAGATTTTGTTGTCCCTTATGTTGACTTTATTGGAAATGACTTTCTTCTAATGCATGATAATGCCAGACCTCACATCGCGAGAATCACTCAACAGTACTTAAACGATGTAAACATTCCTGTTATGGAGTGGCCAGCATTAAGCCCGGATGCGAACCCAATTGAACATGTTTGGGACATGCTTGGGCGAAGGATGCGAAGTCGTGTTCCTGCTCCTTTAACTTTAAATCAGTTGCAACAAGCTCTTTTAGAGGAATGGGAACATATTCCTCAAGAGGACATTCGCCACTTAATTTTAGGCATGCCAAGGAGGATGCAGGCTATTATTCGAGCACGTGGGGGCAACACACGTTATTAAAAAGGCGGCTCCCCAGTTTTTGCTAGCAAGTCGTTTCAGTTTTGATTCATTTAAGGTCATTTAGCAACAACACCAATTTGTGCTTTTTCGCCTTCGTTTTTTAAATTGTTACAAAAC